TGAACATGAGGAAGAACTTCCTGACTGTGAAAGCCGTTCAGCAGTGGAACTCTCTGCCCCGGAGTGTGGTGGAGGCTCCTTCTTTGGAAGCTTTTAAACAGAGGCTGGATGGCCATCTGTCAGGGGTGATTTGAATGCAATATTCCTTCTTCTTGGCAGGGGGTTGGACTGGATGGCCCATGAGGTCTCTTCCAACTCTTTGATTCTATGATTCTATGCAACTGCAGCAGAATAACAGGTTGTTGTAAAAAAGTCATTAGAACAAAGTTCATTGTGTGAAAATTAGGTGCAGCCATAGCACTAGGTGGTGCAGTGAATCTACAAGAGGACCACATTTAGCCCACACTCTGCTTTCTTTGACTTAAGAGATGTACCTAGAGGGCTAAGTAGCTCTATTGCATTCAAATTGCATTTCATATTTAATGCAGAATATGAAAGTCTAAACCTCATAAATGTATATGTGAATCCAAGAGCACCTACTAGTAGGTCTCCTCCTTCCACACCATCATGATCTTAGAGACTTTGCACATGCGGACTGAATCTAGCAATGGAGGGGTTATTTTTAAAAGGTTTATGTTGCACCCGCACTCCCCCATCTCCAGTAGATCATGGAAGCAAAATATAGTGCAAAACTTATTCTTAGGCATGTCATGAAACTGTTTAGCTTAAACATTTTTGTTTTATTGCCATCTAATTTTTTACAGTAGGGAACATTTTGAATAAAAATGCACTGCATTGAACTCGGTTTAACCTGTTTTTCTTCAACTCAGTCGATTGTTACAATCTGTCACTGGTTACGAAATTTTGCATTCTTAATTTATTTGGCAGATTCTGCTCTTCAAAAGAACAACTAATATAAGCTGCCGTATATGGTTGAAGCGTTCCTTCTAGTATAATTTTCTCTAAGAATGGGTATAGATTGAAATACCATCTATCCAACAGCATGGGAAATGGAGCAACTCTTTTTTTTTTAAGAAACTTCACCTTCGACAGAGAATTCAGTTACTTTTACATTTTTCAGAAATCCTTGAATATGATGGGTAGCTGTGATCGCTACATTTTGACAAATGTCTTTGACCTCCTGATGAGGCATCTGTTTTAAAAATATGAATGTACTACCTTAAATTTTATTAGTCTCAGAAAAAATACTGAATTTGTGTCAAGACCCAGAAGCCTCAAGAATGCCAAACACAGTATAAAAGGTCCAAACAAAGGTTTATTAAACACAAAAAAGGCTTAGAGACACTTAACTCAGCACAAACTAAGAGTCTATAGCAACCGCTAAGCAAAAAACCCAATTTAAATGTAATCTGGATTATACCAGAGTATAATCTGGGATAACAAAAAGTTACAGCAATCTGCTTGAAATTCAAAAGGTCCAAAAAGCACAAGAAAACAAGGTGTTAACATGCAAAATCGAAGTCCATAAATAGTCCAAAGTCCAGGCATGTCCAAAATGAGATGAAGCAGTCCAAAAAGAGAAGTCGTCAAAACACAGTCCAGAGTCAAAAGGGAGGTTGAAGTCAGCACTTACGGAGTTCCAGGCAGAAGTCATGGAAACACGGAGATCTGTAGTCCAAGGACCCAAACTTGAGAGTAATGGCAGTAACAAAGATCCAAACCCAATAAGACACTTTGCCTTCTGCAAAGACCCATTGCATTCAAACCAACTTATATCCTATAACTCCTCATCAGAGGATGAACTGCTCCCCACCCTTTCATCATCACTTTCAGCTGCCCCATTCCCTGCAGCTGAGCAATGCCTCCCATCTCTCCACCTTTGCCAGCGTCTTTCAAGACTTAGGTCCTCCCAAGTGTTCCCAGATTGCCAGTCCTCTGCAAACCCCTCAAAGTCATCACTGGATGTAGGCTGAGTACAGATGTCCCTAATCTCCTGCACACGGGTCCAGTCTAAAGCATCCTCCTCCCCATCGTCACTCCCAGTCCCATCACTCCTTTCAAAACCCACAAAGTCTTCATCTTCTGTTGGAGCGCTAAGTATATCACGGATACGCTTCCTTTGGATCTCCTCATCTGATTCTTGTTCTCGAGTAGCCCACTTAACTCCCCTGCTTTCCTCTCCTTCCCCCATTTCACAATCTGAGAAACCCTCGAAGGACTCAGAATCAGTTGGAGCCATGAATATGTCTCTAATCTGCTTTCGCTGCTGCTCCTCCTCCAACACCTGCACAGCCCTCTTCTCCCTTCTACCAGTAGTAGTAACGTTACTATCATGCTGTACTACAACAATTTGTTATAGTGACATAAATATAGTTCCCACACCTCTATCAAAATATAATAATAATAATAATAATAATAATAATAATAATAATAATAATATAATACTTTATTTATATTCCGCTCTATCTACCCGGAGGGACTCAGGGCAGATTCCAAAAATAAAAGGCAAACATTCAATGCCTGAATACAACAACAATACATCCACACTAACAATATTTAAACCACCCAATATTTAACCATGAAATTATGACTTTACAA